CGTTAAACAGTATACAATCAATCAATAATCACTACATAAGTGTGAAAGAGCAATTGCATTCATAGCACCAGCAGTTGCGTCTACAGTGCTATGAATACAGTTGATGACTACATGTTCCTAGTGGCAGAGAGCAGTAGATATGCAAATATATATAAATACATAACAAAGTTGGTTATAAGGAGAAGTAGTTCGTATTTGACCAAGATTAATCTTTTTAAGCTACAAACAATAAAAGGCTAATTTTAATGCAGCGAAAGCTCAAATTGTCTGCACTCTATTCACAAGTAAACAAACAAATTTACACTCTGGTGTTAAATGGAACAGCGTTAACGCAGCAAGGTGACCTAATTCGTTTCTCTTTTGAGAAACGATCGTTTGCTAGTACATGTATCAGAATAGAAATAATTAAGGTTCTTGTTTTCGTGATAATGCAGAATAACCTCCTCCTTGTTTGAAATATAAAAGGTTTGGCTAACGCCTCGGCTTTTATCTTTCAAACAACATTTCTCGACCTCGGAGGTTATTCTGCAACATTCATGAAAACGTGGACTTTATTTCTTAAGTAAAATCCGGACCGGGCTGGGAATATAGGATTAAATTCTTTAGACCCGGTTTTTTTTTCTCATGGTCAGCTATATGTAGATTTGTTCATTCCTTTCAGGCAGTCACACTTTTTAGGTCACCTGAGTAAACTCAGGTGACCTATTGCTATCCGTTTTTGTCCGTCGTCGTTCGTCGTGCGACGTGCGTCGTTCGTCGTGCGTTAACATTTAAACATTTTCAGCTTCTTCTCTGAAACCACTGAACCAATTTCAACCAATTTTGGCATATAGCATCTGTGGGTGAAGGTAAACGAAAATTGTGAATTTCATTGTCCCTGCCCCCCTGGGGCCTAGGGGTGGGGCCAAAAGCACTAAAATTAGTGCAATCTTTAAAAATCTTCTTCTTTACTCCTGGACATCAAGCAGTCAAACTGTTGGTATGATTGTAATCAGCGTTGAGTCCTCTACCAAAATCGTGAAATTCATGGCCCAGGGTCAGGGGTTCTGATGTTAGGGCGGGGCTCTATCAAATTATATAGTGAAAATGCATTATTTCTTTGAAAATCGTCTTCTCTGTTCCTAAGAATTAAATAAACTAATTAAGTACAAAGTTATGATGAGCAAGAGTGCCTCTACCAAAATTGTGAAATTCATGGCCCCAGGGTCAGGGGTTCTGGTGTTAGGGCGGGGCTCTATTGATTATATAGTGAAAATGCATTATTTCTTTAAAAATCTTCTTCTCTGTTCCTGAGTATTAAATAAACTAATTAAGTACATAGTTATGATGAGCAAGAGTGCCTCTACCAAAATTGTGAATTTTATGGACCCAGGATCAGGGGTTAGGGTGGGGCTCTATTGATTATATAGTGAAAATACATTATTTCTTTGAAAATCTTCTTCTCTGCTCTTACGTATTAAAAATAAATTAACTAAGTACATAGTTATGATGAGCAAGAATGCTTCTACCAAAATTGTGAATTCTATGGCCCAATGGCCAGGGGTAATGGTGTTACGGAGTGGCTCTATAATGATTATATAGTGAAAATACATTACGTCTATGAAAATCTTTTTCTCTACTCCTGGGTAATAAACAGATGTACTACATATACAGTTTTGATGTGCAAGGGCTCTTTCTCCAGAATTATAAATTTCAAGGCCCTTGTGTCAGGGATACCGAAGAGGGGGGCTCTACTTATATACTGAAAATGAATTGTTTGAAATCTGCTCCTTATATTAATCAAATATTATTGATAAGCAAGTGTGCCTTTTCAAAAATTATGCAATGTGTATAGTTAGGGCCAGGGGTTCATGTGTGGTAGGGGCACTTATAATTATTGCTGAATATTACTGATTAGTTGAAATGCATTGTTTGTTCCCCTGCCCTGCTCATGGGTATTAAGTAAACAAACTGAACAATTGCTGAGTGTATAGTTATGATTAGCAATGGTGCCTCTTTTAGAATTGTGAATGCCATAGCATCTAGCTTGAAACATTAACCAAATTCAATCATTTGAAAGTTGTTGCATGAAGCCCAGGTGACCTATAAGGCCCGTGGGCCTCTTGTTTAACAAAGAGATCATCTTCCAAGAACAATATTTACATTCGCTGTGTTTTTCTACTAAGCCAGCTGTGAAATTGATTTGAAGACCATTTTCATACTCACGCGTAGAAATATACACGGAGAAACTGCGTTAACGTGACGTCATAATTAGGCTGCAGCGACGTTAGTAAAAAAGCAAAAATATACGGCAGCTATGTTATATTACAATCTTTATTGTAGACGTTCAATGTTGAATTCTTTACTTGCAGTCAAAAATATAAAAATGTTAAATGTACATACTCAACTTTGTGGAGATGATTCATTATCTTTGCAAGAAAATGAAAGAGTATTTGGTATTGTTCATAATTTTTTTCAGGATACTGGTCGTTTCATTTATAACAATTATTTGTATTTAGTACCTCTTTTGAAACTATTTTTATTATAATTATTGTCGTCATTATAATCAACAGAATATTAATTTATATTTTTGGCAATAATAGCTATTGTTTTTGTTCTTTTATGTTCATGTATATTATTGTAAAACTGTAAAACTTTGTAAATATTGTATGGTTATTGAGATTTTTATGTATGGGAGAGGACTATCTAAGTTTTTGGAACTTCTGTCCAATCCCTTTGACATGTTGTCAATAAAATATGTTCAAAACAAAACAATCTTCGTAAAGCGTTTTTAAGCATATAGATGTTATTACAGATTTAGGACCAGAGGAGGTTGGCTTCTATGCAATACATTGAATAACACCTCACAATTTTTGCAACTGTCATCATAATTTTTTTTACCAGCAAGCAGAATAAGGAAAGTATAAGAAAATTGAGACTATGAATAGTATATAAATGAAAGTTCCCATCATTCAAATATTTGTAATTATAGATTAAATGAGTAAAAATTGAGGTATTTCCTGCTATATATACTTAGGGGTCACTAGCATAAAAGAAGGTCATTGATGAAGTTAAAAGTGAACAAGCAAATTCAATGAATTATGGTCCCCCGCTTTCGGTGTCTTCGTTGGTGAGATGTCATTTTTATGCCATATTGTGCCAAATATAAACGCCCTATCATATGTCATTCAGAAGTTATCACCGAAGTTGATTATTTTGAAAATTATGTCAATCGTGAAGGCCAAGAGGTCAGAAATCATAGATGCTCGGAAATACTTTGTCACAGGTAATGCACTTGTCAATTATGAAAGCCCTTTATCTTCTCAATCAAAAGTTTTAGGGAAAAATGAACATTTTTGAAAAGTTGGTCAAACTTTAAGGTCAAGGTCACAAGATAAAAAAAAAACCCACAGTGTATTCAGAAAGATCACAATCAATACACAGGTTTAATATGAAAGCCCTACCCGATATGTCTTAGCTTCTATTCAGAAGTCATGACCAAGGTTAAATTTTTTGTAAGCAAGTCAATCTTCATGATCAAAGTGACGAGACCAAAAATCAAAGTGTATTTAGAATTAAGGTTATGCCACAGATAAAACACACCTTGAATATGAAATCCCTTTCTCTCCTCACTCAAAAGTTATGGACAATTTAGGTCAAACTTCAAGGTCAAGGTCACGGGGTCAAAAATCAAAATGTATTTTATAATGCCTTGTCACGGGCAATACACCCTATCTCTTCTTATTCAAAAGTCATGACCAAGGTTATGGTTTTTGAAAAGTAAGTCAAAGCATCAAGGTCACGATGTCAAAAATCATAGTGTATTCAGAAAGATCACAATCAATACACAATTTTAATATGAAAGCCCTACCCGGCATGTCTTAGCTTCTATTCAATAGTCATGACCAAGGTTAAAGTTTTTGTAAGCAAGTCAAACTTAATGATCAAGGTGTCGAAACCAAAAATCATATTGTATTAACAATTAAGGTCTTGTCACAGATAAAACATGTCTTTAATATGAAGGTCCTATCTCTCCTCATTTAAAAGTTATGGTTAATTTAAAGTAAAGGTAAAATTTTTAAGTAGGTCAAATTTGTAGGTCAAGGTCACGGGGTCTAAACTCATAGTGTATTTAGAAAGGTCTTGTAACAGGCGAAACGCATTCTTCTTATCTTTTTATTCAAAAGTCATGACCAAATTTATTGTTTTTGAAAAGTAGATCAAACTTCAAGGTCAAGGTCACGAGACGGGGTAAAAAATTACAGAGTATTTCGAACGATCTTGTCACATGTAATATAAATATTTAATATGAAAGCCCTATCTCTTCTCATTCAAAAGTTTTGTTTAATTCAAATTAATGTTTAAATGTTTTAAAAGTGAGTGAAACTTTAAGGTCAAGCTCACGGGGTCAAAGAACATAGTGTATTAAGAAAGGTCTTGTCATAGGTCTTGTACATCTGTAATATGAAAGCAATTTTTTTTATGCGCCCGGATCGATAGATCGAGGCGTATATTGTTTTTGTCCTGTCTGTTTGTCTGTCGTCAACTTTAACCTTCGCCATAACTTTTGAACCATGAAAGATAGAGACTTCATATTTGGTATGCATACTCCACCAATGAAGTTCTTTCAAATGACACCAAGGTCAATGACCTTGTGACCTTGACTGTGACCTATTTGCTAAAATTAGCTTTTTCGAATTTTCGCCATAACTTTTGAACCATGAGAGATGGAGACTTTATATTTGATATGCATACTCCACCAATGACGCTCTTTAAAATGACACCAAGGTCAATGACCTTGTGACCTTGACTGTGACCTTTATGCTAAAAATAGATTTTACAAACTTTCTTCATAACTTTTGAACCATGACAGATAGAGACTTCATATTTGGTGTGCATACTCCACTAATGAAGTTCTTCAAATGACACCAATGACCTTGTGACCTTGACTTATCTTCTGAAATTTTTTTTTGAACTTTGTTGCCGTCGGGCGCATAGTGTTACACAAACACATCTTGTTTTTCATTCAAAAGATATGACCAAGGTAAAAGTTTTTGTGACGGATGGACAGAGCTACAGACTGACAGACAAATGATATTTTTAATGTCCCCTCTCTTTCGCAAATGCGGGGGACAAAAATGATTTCACACTGTAACAAAATATCACTTTAATATCCTTTCACACTGTGAAATAATATAACTTTTTTCATTAATAAAGAACAGTATTTCACTGTTGAAGATGTAATAAAGAGTAATATAATTACCTGATCAACAATTCTCAATGAGGTTCTAAGCATGGTTCGGAGACAAACATCTTCTGTCATGGTATATGCCATTATGGTCAGAAATTCACCAACAACTACATAAAGTAACTAGACAAAGTGCTAATTGTAACGGGGACCGTTACAGATGTTCCCCAAACGCTCCCCAACTCCCTTTTGGTGCCATATTCCCTGTAAGCTTCATTAAATAGGACAAAATCTATGCATTGAGACTTTAACAACGCCAAGTTCATTCAAATTTTAGCATTGGACGCGTGCACATGTGAATGCATGTGCGTAATGACCATATCATCTTGTCTACACTCTATACATTTTAATATACTATATATTAAAGTATTTTATCCAAAATTATTTAAAAATACGCTCATTCAAGTGTATTTTTGATTTAACTCATTTCACGTGCACGCACGTGCATACATGAGCATGGTGTCAATATCTTCATGTAGACGTCCATTACATCTCTCTATGTTCTAAATCCCACTCCGTTTGGTTGAAAACCAAAGCAGTTATAGCTGTTTAAAGTTTCAGCCAATCAGATTACAGCGCAAGTACACGCACGTGTATGCATGTGCATGGCGACCATATCATGTTGTAGAAGTTCATTATATCTATCTATGTTCCAAATTCCATCCTGTTTGGTTGAAAACCAAGGGAGTTATAGCTATTTAAAGTTTAAGCCAATCAGATTGCAGCGCACGTGCATGCACGTGATTTTATGACAAATGCTATATATCAAGTAGTAGGATATATTAATGCATGGCTATGTTCAAAATTTGATAGGATTTCGTCGAAAAACAAGAAAGATATAGAGACTTTAGTTTCAGCCAATCAGAGCAAAGCGCACGTGCATGCACGTGAGATCTTGCTATTTTTACCATGTCATTATGTCTATATTACTAATAAATAATCAAATTATGAGTTTCAAAGCATTTCATCAAAAAATAAAAAAGTTACGGCTATATCTATTATATTGGTCATTTCACGTGTTGCACGCGCACGCTCTTGCAAGCACGTGCGCGCAAAATGACCTTGATTCCACAAATCTACATAACATGTCTACTGACCCTAAAAAGGTTTTACCTACATCGGATGAACAGTTTACAAGATCACTCCCGGACAAAAAAGTACCCAGGAAGAAGAAGAAGAAGAATAATAATAAGAAACAGAGTAAAAACAATATGTTCCCCAACTTCGTTTGGGGAACATAATTATACACGTTATCTAATAATCTTGTATGGAGGCCTCAAAGAGAAATAGGATTTAAATAATTTTAAAAAATAGTTATTGGAATTATTTGCAGGTGTCATAACAGTATTACACTTTGGTTCACGTCAAATCATGGCTGACACAAAATAATCCCGGAATCTTCCCTTCCGATTCGGGCATTTTGATACGAGACTGGAGCTGAATTTTTTTATGAGATGAAAAACAACATGTAAACTTCCTGTATTGACCAGATTTATTAAAATTTAGGGCGTGCTGATTTTTCTATATACTGTCAAGAGTGGGGAGTGATTAGGCCCTGGACTAGATTTTCAAGCACCTGCTCGACTTCGACCGAAACAAACTTGCGTGCCTTGCTGGATGGCTATGTATTTTTTGGTACTAAAATCTTTATAAAGAATGGTTTTACAAGATCTGAAAAGGAAACTTCTCAGAAGTTTGTTTTGAATTAGTTACATCTACTCAAACTTGCACATTTTTGGTAAGAATATATAGCAGAAATTAATACTGTTGTGACACCTAAGAAATAACGTATCATTTGTATATGTATTTATCGAGATATAAATACAGATTTAGTCTCTCACCATGAAAGCTTAAAAGTGTGTTAATTTATAAAAAAGTGAACTCTAATATTTTATTAAGTAACTGTAACTTTATACGGATTGGCTATTTATATTTTAGTCTTTGGTCATTCACTGTCGGAAACTCACAGGGCTCAATGAGCATACATAAAATTTATCGACACTGTACCTGAAGTATCCGGTGTCTGCATTGGGGGGTTTTCCAGGATAGCAGTTGATGATAATCGAGGAATGTTCACAGGTGGTGGAGGTGGTGGTAGGTTCAGAAGCTGCCGTGGTATATGCTGCCCGTTACAAACTAAAACATGTTGGTCGTTTATGCCTGTACATATTTCAGTGCATTGTGCTATTGGTCTAGATCGCCTAGGCCTTTCATTGTTTTCTTGGCGGTTACGTGAGATATTAAAATCATGATTAAGCTGATTCGAATTCGATGAGTGTGCATGGTCTGTCTGATTTTCTGATGTTCCCTGTCTGAGGGGATATACTTGAACGTATGTGAAAAAAGCATTATCACTGGCTAAGTTACCATCGTAAGGTTTCTTTAATATTCCGTCAAGTCCAAAAAATTTCGAGTTGAGCTTTTCATAATAAAAAAAATGAGTAGATAGCACGTAAACAACCCATAACACTGAAACACAAATGCTGAATCCCCCAGCCATCTACCTGACCACAATTACATTTTCAATATATCTGAAGAACAAAAATAGAATACGTAGTCCATTCCATCAGTAAATCATTCACATATGATAATGATAACATCAATTAACACCACAATCTTCGAATTAAAAAAAAACCCTAGATTTCTGTTATCATGTTCTAGTTTCGGTTCTAAAAAAGGAAATGGGATTTTTCAAAGCTAAAAATAAATAGCTCTTTAAAATTTCTCAAATGATTCAATTTTCGCCTTTGTCAAATAATCTTTTTTTTTCGATTTGTCAGATCATTATATGTGTCATCTTCTCAAATAATTATGCTGACCTGATATTTTCCAGCTTGGAATTTTTATGCGTATTTGTAGAACCGTCTGAGAATTGTTTTTGTCGATGTATTCCTCAACAAAATTACTTTAACAATTGTACGTGTATGTTTAAAAGTTTAGTTAAACGAACGATTCACCAAAGATTGACAGCTAGGCTAACCTGAAATTCCTATATTTTTTAATTCTTTAAAATATTTAATATCGTTACTTCGAGAATTCAGAGACATTTTTTGAGCATATTTAACTATATATTGTCTGATTTTATGAATGTTTTAATCCGAGGACCGAACTACATTAAGTAGGTCTTAAACCATAACATAAAACGATGAAAGTACATGTACTAAGTCTCTACTTTATTTTGATGTTTAGAATAGGACATAAAGTGTCGGTCAATAAATTGGTATATCAACAGAGCCGTTTTATGCATAAAATGAACCGAGCTCTTTACATGCATACATGTATTTGCCTTATTTGGCCTCTTTAGCTCCGAATCAGCGCATGGCAAAATTTACATTCCGGTAGACGAGACATCAACTCAACTAACTTTCAAAGTTTTCACAGAGAAAACAAATAGAAATGGAAATATTATAAGTTTACTCGTCATGTTTTACATTATGTCAATAATAAAAACAAACATATGAGCTGAGGTAGCTTGATTAGTAATTCAGTATTTAATAAATGGGAGTCAAGAACCCTGACAGGATAAACAACAGTTCCTGCGAAAGTTAGTAAATTTACAAAATTTCATTATTTTCACAACGCTGCAATATTCTGACTTGTCTGCACATTCTGAAAATGAAACAAACAAATAACATCAAATCATGTATGTGCATACATGTATATTTACTTTATGTAATTCTTCAGAGAAATGTAAATGTAAAATAAACCCCAGATAACTTCAGACTTCAAAAAATAATTGGTTTATATACATGTATAGTCAGGAGAACTCACTTTCAAGACAGCTTTCCATTTTGCACATTTTTATCGTCTTTGGTCTCTTCACAGAGGTACAATGGCGCCCAGCGTGAAGCTTGGTTTTGGACCAGACACAGTTTAGCGTTCTTGTTTTAAAACCATTTGTTCCACATTCACCAAGACACTATATATACCACAAAGGAGGCTCATTATATGTTTCATAATAATATGAAACAAGAGGCCCATTGGCCACATCGCTCACCTGAGAAGCGTTGACCATTCTGTTCTTTACCAGATTTCCCCCTTGTAATACATATTGTGTCCCCACCCTACCCCACTGATCATAATTAAGACAATTTGAAATCTACACTACCATAGGATGCTTTGATTCCTCTTTGTAAAAATTTGATTCCCCATTGTGGCTCCGCCCTACCGTCATGATTTTAACAATTTAGAATCTACACTATCCTAGGATGCTTCCACATAAGTTTCAGCTATTCTGGCCCAGTGGTTTTTGAGAAGATTTGTAAAGATTTTTCCTATATATTTCAATGTTAAACTTTGATTCCCCATTGCGGCTCCACCCTACCCCCAGGGGTCATGATTTGTACAATTAAAAATCTTCTCTACCCCAGGATGCTTCCACATAAGTTACAGCTTTTCTGGCCCAGTGATTCTTGAGAAGAAGATTTTTAAAGATTTTTCCTATATATTTCTATGTTTGATTCCCCATTGTGGCCCCGCCCTACCCCCGGGGGTCATGATTTGAACAATTTAGAATCTTTACTACCCCAGGATGCTTCCACATAAGTTTCAGCTTTTCTGGCCCAGTGGTTCTTGAGAAGAAGATTTTTAAAGATTTTTCCTTTATATTTCTATGTAAATTTTTGATTCCCCATTGTGGCCCCGCCCAACCCCGGGGGTCAAGATTTGAACAAACTTGAATAAACAATACCTGAGGATTCATCCCCAAAAATTTCATCATTACAGGCACATTGGTTCTTTAGTAGAAGATTTTTAAAGATTTTTCCTATATATTTCTATGTAAAACTTTGATTCCCAATTTTGGCCCCGCCCTATCCCCGGGGGTCATGATTTGAACAATTTAAAATCTACACTACCCTAAGATGCTTCCACATCAGTTTCAGCTTTTCTGGCCCAGTGGTTCTTGAGAATAACATTTTTTTTAATGACCCCACCCTATTTTTGTCTTTTCTTGATTATCTCCCCTTGTGAGGGGACTTGGCCCTTCATTTTTACAATTTAAATTTCCCTTTACCCAAGGATGCTTTGTACCAAGTTTGTTCAAAATTGGCCC